TGCATCTTACACAGCCACTCTGGATAAGCAATATATTGTACTGTAAATACAGCAATTGCAGTTATAACTTGGAGTTAAAATGTCTGGATGGTAACTAGTGCCTGTCTAATATGAAATTGGAAAAGAGCATAGGTCTTCATCTTATGGTGCTGTTTCAGAGGATATTTTTCCTATTTTGATTCTAGGAAATTGTGAAAACTTGTGGACAAAATGTTACTATGCTACATTGAGATGCAAATGGTGTTTTTTGGTTTGTCTGTAAAGATGTCCATAAAACCCATTGTTTTTGGTTTTCAATGTAATTGTAAATATGTGAAACTGTATTCATGTCATTGCTGTGTCTGACACTAATGTGGGAATAGTGGGGGGTGGGTGGGAGAGGATATGCAACGAAATACCACTAATTTTCCCCAGTGGAAACCCACTGCAAATTAGTGAATGGTGTGAATTGCAGCCTGGTTGAAGTGTTTGAATGAAAATTAATGGGATCAGCATCAGCTTCACAAGTGAATGAATGAATAAATGCAATAAAAAGCTAATAGACAACAATATTACTCTGTTCATCACTTTGATTAGTTTTTTTTATGAACTTGAATACATTCATTATGTGATTTGTAAAATTAAGCTTAAGTAGAGACCTTGCTACCACACTACTAATTTTTTTCCCTTTTTTGTGAGATAAGAGGTTTGTAGAATAGTGAGATTCTTTCATATGTTGAATCTTAATTCTGTTCCTAATGGTGAAAGTGCTGGAGTAATGTCACTGTGATCTAGTACTTTGGTATATGCATAAAATGGCAGTTCTGTATATCATTTTGGCTAACTGTAAATATAAATGTTTCATAGTAGTGTAGTTGAAATTTTGAGGTACAGCCCTTTGTGTGAAATTAGAAACAACTTTTTTTCTAAGGACTTTTAAAAAAAAAAAAAAAATATTTTCAATAAAAATCCCTACCTCATATCTGTTTTGCAGAAATTATCCCATTTCCTATGTTTAATTTTCCACTTATATCTGTAACCACGAGGTTCCCTTTTCAGTTCTTAGCAAACCCTGCTGGTTCAAATGAAAGAAACGCTGGATTGTTTAAACATTAAGTATAATTTAGTTTTCTTTGTCTCATTTCCATGGTGGTGAGGAGGCCTGAGCACTGGCCAGCTGCTTCCAGCAGCCTTACATCCTCACGGGATCTTGTATCCTCTTAGGAGAGGCCGAGGCTCTTGGCCTCTTGGTGGGAGCTGGGGCAGAGGCTGCAGCCCCTCATTTTGCTGGGCTGGTGGGGAGAGGGGGGCTGCAGAGGGAAGGGAAGGGAGGACAAGGGCCTGGCAAATGCATCCGAAAGAGCCTGAGGGGAAAGTTCCTTAGCTTGGCTTTTGTGTAGCGGGTGTAGAGCAAGCAGAGAGGTCCTGGGGTGGTTTTTAACAGGAATGCGAATGCACATTCCATACTGAGCTCTAAAGGTAAATGTGTTAAAAGCCTTAAGCTATGCCAAAAAGCCCTATTTTCACTATTTTTTCTCATAAATACTTTGTTGGTTACATCCTTACTTAAAAACAATCTTTAAAAAAGTGATAATCTTAAAAAGTGAAAATAGTAGTTCTCCTACCTTGTTACAAAGGATGAGTGGGGCCCTTCTCCTGAGAGGGACATAGCAAACCCAAATCAACTTAAATCAAGTTCCTCTCTAGTTTTGTACGATCAACTGCACTGTTTCAAGGATGTTCAAAATCCGCTTGGACGCAGCCCTGAGCCACCAGGTGACCCTGTGTGTGCAGGGGGTTGGACTAGATGATCTCCAGAGGTCCCTTCCAACCTTAACCATTCTGTGCTCTGTGTTGCTCTTTGACAGTACCTGTAAGAGCGGCTCTCCGAAGCAGGTGCAGGGCATGGGTGCTGTGGGACCATCTTCAAGCCCATCCCAAGGCCCTGGTAGGCAGCAGGGCAGGAAGGATGTGCTGCCTGGCACTGCACAAGTGTTTCCTCGGGAGCTTCCCAGGCCTCTTTCCTGTATCATGGAGTTTTGCCCCAGTTGGAAGCAGTTTTGACAGGAGGGTTCTCAAAGTGACTCCAGCTCCTACTCAGCTCTGGAGCTGCACGACTTGGCTTTAATTCTGAACCTAAATCATCTCAAAAACTGTGGGTTTTCTGGGCTGATGTGGGTATTCCAAGATGGACATTTTTATTTAGTAGGACTGCTTTTACTTGCAAGACCAGTAAAAGCAGTTAAGTTGGTGTGCTGAAGAAACCTGGCTGCTCCTGAGATGTGAGCAGGAGCTCAGGGCTTTCAAATTTACTGCATAAAAGTAGCCACTGCAAAGATGAAAGGGCAGATGCTTTCACGTTGCTGACTTCAACTTCCCAAGTGGGAGGAAACCCCGCATTACAGTGAAGCACTCGCGGCCTCATGCTTTGTGACGGGTTCTTGCCTTGCTCCTGGACACTATAATTTTAGGAAGGAAGGAAGGAAGGCTGTGCCTGATTTAAAACAACATATGTAGCAGCACAAACCTTACTGTACATGCACAAGCATGTGCCTTTTCCCTGAACTTCATCACTTTTCACTTAAAATAACTTTTTTTAAAGAAGTTTTTCACTTTTTCCCCCTATTAAAGAACGATAAATTACCTCAATTTTGATGTGAATATCTGTTTTCTCTTTAATTAAGAACTATGCAAATTTAGACTTGATTTTAGAATGTTCTGCTATATTGGGCTTAGTCTAGAGACCCAAGGCCCCCTAAGGCAATGTATTTTGTGCTTTAGCTGGGCCCAGGACAGGGCAGGGATGCCGCCACACCTCCCCTAATCTCCAATATATTTAAACCGAAAATAAATGGCTTTAAATACTATCCTCATGCTGAAAGTCTGAAATCTGGCTAAACAAAAGTGAAAACATACTTTCAGATTTCAAAACATGCCCAGGTTAATGTCCTTTAAACCTTTTCAGATGGAGACTAATTCTAATATTCTTCGCTAGAAGGAACATTACTTTTAAATTCTAGTTAACTAATAATTTTAATATTGGAGAGCTCTCAGACTCTATCACCAAAAATGTTACTTTTGCTTATAAAACACAGATGCATAAGATGTCTGTTTTTTTATAATTTGGAGTTTTTACTAGGTTAGCTGCACATCCCAGAACTTTCCCATGCCTATCCTCTCCTCCCTGTTTATGATTGTCATCTCATTATCATTTCATGTTAATTAAAAGGTCATATTTGCTTTGCAGATTATTTGGAGACACAATATGAAAAGAATTAATCAACATCACAGAATAATGCACTTCAGATCTTATGTCAGGGCTCCTACCTTTATTCTGCAAATAAACATGAAGATGCTCAAGTTCCGATGGATTTTTGGCAAGATCACCCAGTATCTTCAAAATGGAACTGAAAACTGTTTGAACTTTGAAAATGACTGTGATGTTGGGATTTCTCTTGTACTGCCATGATATTCCAAGTGACGTTATACCTATAGAAAATACTAATAAAGAATTTTGCTAGAAGTGCTGCTTTCACCTCTTTTTTTTTTTTTTAAGCTTTAGACCAGACTACTTTCTAAGTTCAGCCTGGTGGAATAAAACTTGGATGTGATTTAAGTAATTGAAATGTTTAACTTAATGGAAAAAAAAGGGGAATTACGATTTTTTTTGCTCATGAGGTCTCAGCCCTTGGCAGTTGTAGGGCTGAGTTTCACTGCATCGGTTGCTGGAACCCAAGTGTTCGCAGGGGCATTCAAAGGTTCCCAGTGTTTTGATGGTTTGTACAATGCCTCAATCTCCTGAAGTCATAAAAAGTATTGAGGGAGACACCTCATCAGAAAGAGGACAAGCTGAATACTTATATTACCTAAATCTCTCTTTTTTTTTTTTCTTTTGTAATTGAACATAATACAAAGTGTTCTTTGAGTTAAGAGTTTCATGGAGTTAGTAGTAGCGAGCTATACGAACTGTAAAATTTATTTTTCCGAGTGCAAATCACGAATATTATGTGTCTAATTGCAGTGCTAATTCAAGTGTTTTTCAAACCAGTTCAAATTCCCTGTTCTGCTCACCTCTAAGATATGCAAAAGGACAGCAGAGCATTTGGTGATTCAAACAGAGTTCAGTGAGGAGCCAGGAAGATGATTAAAGGATCGAAGCAGCTGACGTAGGGAGTTAAGAGTTTCATGGAGTTAGTAGTAGCGAGCTATACGAACTGTAAAATTTATTTTTCCGAGTGCAAATCACGAATATTATGTGTCTAATTGCAGTGCTAATTCAAGTGTTTTTCAAACCAGTTCAAATTCCCTGTTCTGCTCACCTCTAAGATATGCAAAAGGACAGCAGAGCATTTGGTGATTCAAACAGAGTTCAGTGAGGAGCCAGGAAGATGATTAAAGGATCGAAGCAGCTGACGTAGGAGGAAAGGCTGAGACTGCTCAGCCTGGAGAAGATATGTCTCAGTGGCCTCCAGTGACAGGACAAGAGGCAATGAGCACAAATTTAAATACAACAACAAACTCCCTTTAAATTAACGGAAACAGAACAAAAAAGCTTATTTTACAGTTAGAGTGAGCGAGTTGCCCAAAGAGGCCATGGAGTCTCCATCCTTAGAGATACTCAAAACCCAACCGAACACAGCCCTGAGCAACCTGCTTTTGACTGTGCTCTCAGCATGGGTCTTTTGGCACCTGCAATATTTTCTTGCTGATGGCAAGGAAAGTGGCATTCCCAATTTATTTTTTCATTAACTGGTGCTATTATTTTTTTTCACGTGTGGTCCTGTGTTCTTTCCTGAAAACATATTTAAGTTTCTAAAGGGGATATGCTCACCCCAACGAGCATATATTTTGTTGAAATACGAAGCTAGTTCCATCATACTGCTGTCTAACACTAGACATCTCATCCACACTTGAGCTCTATTATGCTGTCACCTTTCAGTCCAGTTCCATTTGATTTTTGACAAGTGGAAGCATGGTTTATATGGGAAATATAGATTCATTTGGCAACAGTTTTGAAAAATTCACTGTCTTCCTTTCACAAAGGGATGTTCCAGCAACTGCAGAGCAGAAGGGCGTTCATGTTGATCTCTGCATTAAGGGTTTGAAAAATCAGTACAAGAACATGCATGCCTGTGATGTAATTGTTCATAAAGTCTAAATGTAAGCTCAGCTTCTTTTTTAAAAAAACAGAATTTATGAGAAGAGACTGTTGGCATTTATGAATTAGAAAAGTAAAACAGTTTGTTACAAAAATCTTTCTTTGAAATCTTTCTTTGTTTACCTATCTGCATCCTAAAACCTGCATAATTCAGCTCTTGCAGCTATTACAGGTGCACCAAAAATGTCTTTAAGGAGGCTGACAATTAACTTTTTGATCTGGTGTGAGCTCAAACCTTTATTTTTTTGTTTTTATAATAGCTGTGGCTGTTCTGTCATTTCCAAGCAACCAAACTCTTGTTAGGGACCTCATTTGGAATTACAGTAATGGAATTACAGAACCAAAGAGTTTGGATGTTTTCAAACATCAGTTAGGAGAAAATGGAGACAGGAAGAGCCCAAAGAACCCGAGTTCCTTAAATAATAAACTAGTGGGAAAGATGGGATGAAGGAAGCACTTATCTTAGGACATGGTGAGATGATATATTAAAAGTTTGCCATGGTATGTGCATCCTGCATTTTTAAAAGATAAATACTTTACTAAAAGTGCTTTATATCTGCATGCAGAAGAAAGAGTGATGTGATAGATCCTTTCCTTCAGAACGCTGTCCTGAAAACCACACGTGAGATGTGGGCTAGATTCAACCAGCAAGATAACCTAACCTATCTGCAGAGCTTTTAACTCAAATTAACTCCACATTTTGTTTAAAGTTCAGGGGTGCCATGTGGCTGCCTGAAAAATTACAGGGCAAGTTATATGCCAAGTACAAGGCCTAGAAAAACAAAATTTGTGACTTTTGTTCAATACTTCTGTTCAATTACTATCATAGATGACAAAACTATTGTATGCATACTATTATTTTAAAGCCTTCCTGAAATGCCAAAAAACTTACACATTTGTAAATGTTTACAGTTGTTCTGCACAGTCAAAGGTACCATATAGGAGGTAAACTAAGCTTCCATCAATAGTCTCCACCATTCAAACTATCTGATGTTTCCCCCTTCCTTTTTCAGATAAAAATCTACCTACCTGGTGAGACACACGTGCACGAAATCCGCTGCGATGCTGGAGAATCGCTCGGGCAGGGAAGGCATCAGTCCTCTGTGGGCCCCGATATAGAACATGGCTGCTATCCTGTCCATGGAAGCCAGCGGCGGTTTTCCCGTTGCCATCTCGAACACAGTGCAGCCCACGCTCCAGATGTCAGATTTTCTCCCATACCCAGAGTCATTAATAACTTCTGGTGCCATCCAGTACGGAGTGCCGTGCACCGACTTGAGGAGCTCGCTGTGAGTGCCGCTGAGGCCTGCCCAAGCCAAACGGCGGGCACAGCCGAAGTCAATGAGCTTCACCACACCGTTGGGCATGAGCATGACGTTATTGCCTTTGATATCCCTGTGGACCACACAGTTGCCATGCAAGTAGGCGACCCCTTGTAGAATCTGCTTGGTGTATTTACAAAGGACCGTTTCTGGCAATGGACCAAAACGATTAATGATGCTAGAAATTGAGCCACCAGGAACAAACTCCATGAAAATGCTGACAGTGCTGTCTTCCAGACAAGTTCCTAGATAAGTTACAATGTTAATGTGCTTCAACGTCTTCAAAAGATCCACTTCCTCTTGCAACTTCTGATACTCCTTTTCTGTAGTCTGTTGATCTGATGTATCCAAAACAACCTGTTTCACAGCTATTAACTGACCCTGGCTTGTCAGACCACAGTACACCTGCAAAGAAATTGGCATCTATTAAAATAAAACATGAACTATAAAATATATTTACTCTATTTTTTTTTTTAAGTATCTTTGCATTTGTTCAGGTCTCATTTATATAACCCAAATGTTGTTTGTTGAATAGGACAACAGTCAATTATAAGGTGAGATATAGCTCACGATGACCAATGTGTCTCTTAAAAACATATTGAGATTTCAACTTACCGTGCCATAGGCTCCTTTGCCAAGCACCTCACCTCTCGTCCACAAGATAGGCTCCTTGTTACTCAAACTATTTTCAGATAATTTAGTAGATTCTTCAAAGTTTAGCAGGCCACTTTCTTCATTTGATGCCAAAAAGGCTTCACTGTAACTCTGCTTGAAAGAGGAGAGTCAGTGTTAGGAGAAGGCAGAGGACGGTAAAAGTTTCATATGGCCATACATATTTCATAAGGAGGGATTTTTCTCCTGGCATGACTCTACTACAAAACAAACAAACAAACAAAAAAAGCTAAGGGATCAAGGAGAGGCAGGATTGGCAGATAAGTACCCTAGTGGATGGTGAGAGCAGGTGGCAATATCTACCAGCCTTCTGATTTTGGACTAGCATCTTTTACCTAAGCAGCTTTATTTTAAGCTTGACTTTTTAATTACCATAAACTAAGCAGAATGTCTGATAAGCCAACATTTACACTCATATCTAGAACAGTATCAAAGACTCAGTGAAGCTGCCCATTTAGATACTAGATACAAATGGTCCATTTGCTTTTTTTTTCATATGCCTCAGGGGCCAAAATCTCAAATGCTTCTGCCTTGGACTAAAGGCAAAATCCCTTTTTGTATGTGCTCTTGGCATGAAACCGTCCCATCTTTTACTCCCTCATTTTTTTTTCAGTTGATTTTAATGGTTCTTGTTAGCCTTGACAAACCAGCCCCTGTCTGGCTACTGTCCTGACAGGAGGCCTCTGACATGGATATCCTCCAGGGATACTCAGTGGGTAGCTGGGATAGGAAAAAAGAGGCTTGGTCATTAATGATCATATACTATTTATTACCACTATCTGACGGCCTGCTATTTTCTTCATTTAGACTCATAATTCATCCAAACTTGTGCTATAGCACCACTCAGAGGAAGTAGCAAGGTACAAAGAATTACCTTCTCTAGAGCACAGTTCGCAGTCTCACCATCTCCACTCACCCGGCTTCCTTCCTCTCTAGCATGTGTATTTTGCACTTCCACACCTGTATTTTTCTTTCTTGAATAGCTGATGTCTTTTTCATCAAGCACTAGCAGTTCTGCTGCCAGGCAATAAAACGAGTCATCAGTCAGGTCCTTACTATCTGCCCAGGAGGAAATGTTTTGACTTGTCTGGAAAACAGGGCTTGCAACATTTCTTGTCTGAATCACTGACGGCTGAATCAATTCATTTGGCAAATTACTATTTTGAGGTGCGTGTGTCCAACTTTGATTTAATGGGGATAGACATTCTGATGTGTCTGAAAAGGGCAACGCTTCACATTTATTTATAGACTTGCAGGAGGGCTGCTTTGATTCCAGGTCTCTGCAGCTATCCAAATCCACTCTGCACTGGTGGACATGTGAGTTCTGGTCTGTTGTTAATAAATTATTTACAGCAACAATTTCTGAGTCTTCATCATTGAACCAAGGAAGATTCTGACTACAGGTTGCAAATATTTGACTGCTGGATACATCCTCAATGTCTAGAGACTGCTCCAAAGAGACCTCTTTAATAGTTGGTAAGTTTGAATTTGAAAAACACTTATTTTGTTCAGATGATTGGGAAAGCTCCTCTAAAATTGGAGGTTGAAGGCCTTTGTCTTCATGAGATGGTGCTATGCTTTCTGACGTCTTTATTGGACAATCTGGACTAGAAATTATTACACTCTCATGCTTCATGTTGCTAGCACTCAGCTCCATATTTTGGTCTTTTGGAATTAAGCCTTTCTGCTTTCGTTTAGTGTCAGGAGTAGTCTTTTTTGGCTTAGAATATGTTGCCTTTTGAGCATTTCTTACACGGCTGCTCTCTCTTCCTTTATTGCAGGTAGATTTGCAGGTGTTAGTGCATCTCCCAGGTGGAGCAGAGCAAACATCTCTGTAAAATGTGCTCTCATGTTGATCGAGTTCACGCACGTGGGCATAGACAGGAGTTGCAAACATCTCATAAATTCCTGGGCCTTTGTCACTTGAATTTATTTTCCTGAACATGTCACTGTATTTCAGATCCACAAAACCTGAAACAGATTGTGCACATGGTAGAGAAAGAGGAACGGCAGATTTCTTTAAAATAACTGCATTTCTGCAACTGCAGGGGAAACCTTGCTTTTTAGACTTCTGTGCTCTCTGAGCTGAATGATATTTGTCTACTTGAGGGAGCTTTTTTTGACACTTCAAAGAAGTCTCAGATTCCATGTGTGGCCGCCCTAAAGACGGCAAGCTCTGACCCTTGACACTCATCTTGTGTGTATTACATTTTGTGGAACTCTCATCAGAAACAATTAAATGTTCAGACATGTTGCTCCTTGGCTTAGACTTAGATGAATATTTATTTCTATTTATCTTTATTTTACTTTTGTCATTTTCTTGGCGAGCAAGAATGTTGAAGCTCTGGCTAGCATGAGGAGGCAGACTTTGGATGACATTCCTTTTTCGGGGAGGTTGTTTAGCAATGTGTGGTTCCCTTGCTGCTTCTCGTTCAGAGAGTGTAACATGGACAAGAGGTACAAGTTTACTTCTGCCTTTTGCTGGAGTTACTTCTGATACTTCTTCTTTTTCTATTTCTGAGAGACAAATGCTATTTTCTGCTTGTTTTCCAGGGGGATTTTGCACCTCTACTCTGGGAATTCTTTCAGTTACGGACTGCTTTTCTAAGACATGGCAAGCATCTGTCACTTCATTTGTACAGGAATAATCAAAATCATGATTGTCAAGCACAAAGTTCACACTCTCAGGCTCTTCATCTGGCCTAGAATTCGGCATCATCCTTGTAGCATCTCCTTTTACACCAGTTCTAAGTGAATTCTCCATGAGTTTTTCATTATTTCTATCTCTTAAGGTGTCTGCATTCTTTGATACAGGATACAGAGCTGTAAATAGTTCACAGTTTATCTGAGTGTCACCCAGTATCAAGTAGGGGTAATTATCATCTCCAAACTGGTCTTGTGCCACAATATCTACATTCTTACAAGTAACTGAAAGCTGGTATCTCATCAGGTCATTCGTAGCTATATCAACTTGCTTCAATTTTAATTTCTTTTCATATTTTTCTTTCTTGTCTTGAGGATACTCACAACAGTTGCCCATGCCAAAGGAGTTTCTTGGAGTGAATTTATCAGAAATACTAATCTTGGTTAGGTCTGATGATGTTTGATTGTGCAATAGATTGTCTAATTGATACTGATAAAATTTAGCAGTTGTATTTAGAGGCAGAGGAATAGAATGCATAATATTCACAATATTTCTGTTGCTGAAGCCTTCTAGAGGAACGAGCTGAATTGTCCTTACTGGTTGAAAAATCACTGGTGGCAGATGAAACCGTAATTTCTGTGAAAATATTAGTATCTTGCTACATAGCATATACATATAAAAATCGAATACCAAGCAGAAAAACAAAACAAAACTACTCTTAAATGCTTTTCAACAGTTAACCCACTATGAAGTACAATAGTAATATACTGAAAAAAGATGTGATTTTTCTCACACACACAATTCTTTCTAATTATTCAGTAGGAGGGAAAGTGGGGTTCTTGCTATGAAGCACATTTCACTGCTTATGATGTAAGAATAATAAACTTTCTACACACATACATTTGTTACACATCTCATCCCTTAATAATTTTGAGTTTGTTAAGTGATTTCTGTATGTTTGCTATAGGACTTCAAAGCCTGGTCAGCGATTTTATGTAGGAAAATTTCTTTTTTGCTGCACACTTTCACTAAATGAGGGAGCCATTCTGACACTGATGTTTCCAATCACCTCCAAGGGTGTTCTGACACTAGTAATTATATTTCCAATTAAATCAGATAGCATTAGATAGCCATTTTTAAAAAGCAAAAAGCTTTAAAAAGCATTTTTAAAACAGCAAAGGCTTTGCTGTTATAACAGAATACCATTAAGAAATTATTTTAAAATATTTACAGGCTTTAAAAGATACTATTATAAATCTGGCATACAGATTCCCAATATGTCCAGTGTAGTCTTATTAAATTCCATCAACCACACTAGGTGGGTCGCAGATCTTGCCCAAGGAGTTGTTTGTTGGCAGCAAGCACAATCTTCACTACACTTTATAAATGAAGTTAAATGGAAAATTATCCAAATGAAAGTTTTAATATAGCATTAACCTAGAAGTCTGTTTCCAATGCTTTCTTTTTTTTATTATTCTTCCCTTCTTCCCTCCCTTCCCATTAGTTGAAAGGTATCATATATTTCTGAAACAGAAGACTTGCGAATTTGAATTTTTCATCGTGATTATTCAGATGACTATGGTAAAAACAATTTTGTATTCTTCATTTATAGGAAATAATATAAGCCAAAATAACATACTGCATGAAAAAGAACACAATAATTACACTGTCATATATCTGAGTATTTATTTGCACATCTATATACAAAACCAATTTGTAATCTGCAGGAAATCTTTGAATCCCAAGGCAAACTGAGGTTTGAATGTGCCAGGATGCGCAGTGAGGGATGTTTTGAAATTTACAGTTCAGACAGCTTTGTCTCATCTACTGGGCTTTGATCTGGATGCTCAGTTTAGTCCAGTGCTACATCCCTAGAAATCAGCAGATTCTAACGTGAAATAAAGATGTATTAAATCATATTGAGGTCACATAAAATATTTTTCTCAAACATTACCCCCAAATTGATTCTTTTTTCTTTCTCACCAAAGCCCTCTTTATCAGAACCCACAATATCATTTAACTTAGTGTTTAGTTTTACACATAATACCATCTTACCTCAGTTCTCTTACTCCTGTTTTTTAGCACTTTTATATTTAACCCTTAAAAATCAAAACAAATGAAATGTTAGATAGATATACTTAACAGACTACAATTTTCATTCATAATTTAATTTCAGAAAGCAGGGTTCTGAAGACTGAGTCCTATGATGTGGTTTCATGACTAGCCTATAAAGTCATAAGTTGAAATTTGAGTGCCATGCTTATTAATTTTTTTGAATAGAACACAATAAAAACTAAAAATACCTTGATTATAATAAATTATGGCATTATTTTCTTCTTAATTTCAGCTATTTCCTAGCTTTCACTCATGGCTAATTAATTCTGCCACTGTGAGTAAAAAAGTGAAAAGAGATGCCATCTTTGTTCCACTCCAGTTAATGAGAATTTTATTATATATTTTGTGGGTCTGGATTTTCACCATACTGGCTAATGGCTATGGTGAAGTCCCTTTTTTATGCTCTGTGTCATTCATTTCCCAAATGAATGGGAACCGACTCATAGGTAAAGAAGAGGGTACAATGTGGTTGAAGCCTACCGCATGGGAAGTAATTATACATAAAGAGAATTTAAGATGTAAAGAAAAGGAACTTCTGAGGCTTTGCTGTCTCACTTAACAGCAATACATAGCTATTTAAAAGTTGTGACTTTTAGAATTGACCTTACTTGGTTGTATTTGTGCTTGTATTGTCTGAAATGCATAGAAATCCATATGTGATTCTGAAATGGTATATTCTGGACATGAATCCTGTAGCAGAAAGCTGAAGTCAAAGCCACATCTTAGTTTCTCTTCTCTCTTCAGGACGAAAGGTAATGTGCGCTGCCTCATCTGCAATGCTAACTTTTTTTCATTTGGTAAATATTTCACTTGTTTTTCTGGCCATAGTGTAGACATCGGTGTTACTTGACTTAAAGGGAAAAAAAAAAACAAAGTATGAAAATAAGTGCAAGGAGGCTACTCAATTTAACAATCATATGACTGAGGAATAATATAAAAAACAGGCCTGTAAAATCAGTAAAATGTAAATGTAAAATGCTGATTTTTTTCTCCTGAACTATTAGATAAGTTAGGGCACTCTGTAAGTATCTGACTGCATTGCTGGGGATTGACTGCAAGTGAAAACTAATGACAAAAAACACTGGACAAAGCTACAACAGGAATTGGAAAATACATTGTCAACATTCCCCTTCTTGAATTATTGTTTCCAGCATGGAATTTCTGTAAAATGGGTAAAATCTGCCAGAACAGTTGTGAATATGAGATGCCCCTTTGTTATTTATAAAATATTGTATGGACCGCCTGATAGATTAGCTGCTGTGGGGGCCAGGTGTGTTACAGTGGGCCAGCTACTACCTGGCTTCTGAGGAACAAAAATCCAAAAATGCAAAAAGATAAATATTTGATTGAAAAGAGGTAGAAAAAATATAGTCTGAATTGCCCTCAAGGTTTTTGCAATATAATTTTCAATAATTTTCTCTTTTCAATTAAGTCAGCATGAGTCAAACATGAGGCAAATACCACAAGATTTTTCATATTGTACCAAATAATTTGTGCAATATCCTGTTTCCAGCAATGATCAGTAAGTAATGCTGGGATGGAATAAACACCATATGACACATACAGCTTTATATAACATAGAAAACTAAGGAAATTTTATCTTACTCAAGTAATTTCTGCTCTGCATCCATTTTTGTATGCCCAGTTTAAAATTAAGTATTAATTTTACTTACTTGTTCTTTTCCAGTGCTTTGTGTGATTGATGTATTTCTTTCATTATTTTATCTGCGTTTTGAAGAGCAACAACAATTCTACAACCTGCAACAATACAAAATTATTACGACCATAAAAGCAATTTAATTACTGCCCAGTAGTAGAAGTGAAATGCACTTATTTTCAGCTATTAAAGTATTATCGTAAAGATATATATGATGTAGCTATTACAAAAATGTTATGACCATCTCACAAAACTAAGCTGCATATGCGTATTTTCTATTTTAACGTTTAGACATGCATGCATAAACCTAAATTCTTTGAAGATATTTACGGGCATTAAATCAGTACGTAAGAACAAAAAAGCTTAAAGAAATCCCAGCTGTGATCCCTATTTCGGTAGAACAGAAATATAAGAAAAATACTTGCAGAAACTTAAAAAATAGGAAAGTTACTAAAATCAACCCAAATCTCATGGCTACTCAAAGGTGAAAATTAACCCTGAGTGTGATTTCATAGTTTTCTGGTGATTTTTTTATTTTTATAGGTTCAATTGTGGTAGTTTGATTTCAAGTTAAAACTGTCCTTTTTCAGATCCTCTATATTACACCTTACATGTAATAAACTTGGGTTAAATTACCTTCTTTGCTTCTGTTCTGATTTTGTTGGTCACCTGACATAATGTTCTTCAATGTGTTAGAGTGCCCAAACCTGCAAAAATGCTTCATTAATTGATTTCTACTTGTACACAAATCAGTATTTATATATATAACTAAAAGGAATAAAAGGAAAAGCTACCAGTGATACCATTCAATATTGTATTAGGATTACCCAGTGCAATAATTGATGTAGCTGTTTGTCTTTAGGGAACCATCCCGTTACACAGTCTGTGGAAATGAGAGGCTTATGTAGCTTTGTTTAGAATCAAGAGCATTTTACCATTTGATACTACTGTTCAGGAAAAGAATCAAGCTTTTGCTTCTGATTCCACTGACAAAAAAAAAGAACGTTTCTGACTTGAAAGTAGGCAGCAGCTTTCCCAGAAGACTTATTCATTTTCACTAGATCAAATTAAGGATGTTATAACTCTTTTATATGACACTTTTCATCTGAGGAATATATTTTATAAATGCTAATGCTAAGCTATGTCAATCCTAGGATCCAACAGAATTGCAATTTTTAGTCTACGGAGGAGAAAATGGGCAAAGAAATGGTGACTGTTCTGCCCAAGGTCACACGATGAATTGTGCAACAGCAGCAGTAGAAGCCACCAGTCTCCATCTCTACTCCCTCTGCTAAATGCTATATAATCCATTACAATCGGCCTTCTGGAGTCACACAAGCCAGTGGACTTCTCCAAACGTTGCCTTTTTTTTTCTCTGATTACATAAAAATTAATAAAGAATAGTTGAAAAGGTTCTGTAAAACAAGATACAAACATCTTACCTGGTGCTTCAGCAGAGAAGCGTGAAAGCCACACGTCAGTCCCAAGGGAACCAACCCAAGGAAATGTTTTTAGGTCAAAGCCATCTTCCCTTACTGGACAACAACAAATCCACGTGGGGTTTCCTGGCGCTTTGGGTGGATTTTCCGTGTTTTTTCCGAGGGCCAAGCGCTGGTTCCTGCCCCTGCAAACCCTGCAGGCCGTGGCTACCAGCAGGCCCTTTAGTTTACACCATGTCGCCAAGGCAACTCTCCCGCGGGGCGTTTTGCCTGGAGCAGATCAAGCAGATCAGGGATAAGCAGAGGGAAGAACTCCCAGCAGCCAAGGCTCAGCCTGTTTCTCTCCTGCTTATTTACTTTTTTATTCACTTTCAGTACTTTATTCCTACCATTTTCTGCAGTGTATTAAGTCTCTTCATGCTTCTAAACACTCACTCCCCCTTACCATTTAATTATCCATAAGATTTCTTTATCTCTTTTCAGGAAGTTTTGCTGCTTTGAGAGCAGCTTTGATGAACCATGTGTGTATGTATATACATATATATATATAAATAAATATATATATATAAACATACATATAAAATATATATATTTTTGAAGGTGTGTGTGAGGGATCGGCTAGGTGAAAGGCGCGGGAGTAGTGGCTCCAAGCCCGCAAGTTGCGCAAGATGGCGGCGGACAGCGAAGTGAGTCTTTCCCAGCCACTTTCTCCTCCTTCTTCTCCATCTTCTTTCTCCCCTCTTTGCCTCCTTCCGAGCTCGGGCTCGACCTCCCCCGTTCACAGCCTCTGCCGCTCTCTCCCAGCAGCCCGAGTCCGAGGTGTTCGAGATCACGGACTTCACCACCGCCTCCGAGTGGGAGAGGTAGGTACCGCCCGCAGCCCCGAGCAGCGGCGGCTCCGCGGGGTGCTCGTGGTGCAGGGGGGAGCTTGTGGCCCCGGCGGCCGCCCCGGGGCTCCCGTCAGGCGTTTGAAGTTAGCCGGGCAGATCCAAGGATGTCTAAGAAGGCGCCTGCCTTCTCCATGGATGATTGTTTATTTTTAATGCCTTCTTTCCTGGGGTGATACCCATGACAGAGGGAGGCGGGGGCTGCGCGCTTGCGAGCGCCGTTTCTCACACGGCGTTCGGGTTTTGACCTTGTATTTGCGTTGTCCTTCTCTGTGAAGAGTGGCAGGTGTCTGTTTTGCTAAAATTAATGTGCTGCAAAACCAGGAGGGAAAAAAAAACAGCAAGCACTTGGAGATCCTGTATTACTCAAAGCTTACTCATAGTAGTCATTACAAGCATCTGAAATACGAGCACAGAAGTGCAAATTTGTTTGTGTAAGGATGTGCCTCTCTTGGCCATTCTTTTAAGTATTTGGGAAGCTTTCTGCTTTGGGTTGTGCTTTTGTGCTTCAGACAGGCTTTTCACATAGACATGTGATGTTACAGATAAAAAAAAAGGAAAACGTAGCATTTCTGTCACATCAGAATTGTCCCTGAATACTTGTTGAATAGCTTGTGCTCTGCCACCTACCCCAGAGCCTTTTATTTGCATTACGAATTATTGCTTTAGGTGTTTTCACCTGAATGGAAACTATCCGTCTGTGGAGCTGAAATGCTTCTGTGCAAACTGCCTGTTGTTGGTTAGAGTTTGCTGTGAGATGTGTGTTTAGCCCTCCTGAATTACAGCACAAGAGAGACTAGTGACAGGAATTACGGATGCTACTCGTTACAAATGACTTCTTTTGTGAAGGAATTTTAAAATCTAAAAATAAGTTATGTAATACTTTTGGAAAGGAATTCTGTAGTAGGGCAACATACTGCTTGCTTGTAGGGAGCTGAAATATAAGATAGACTTAGTGTTTCTGCAATATTAATGCTTTTTCCCTGCCTGACTAGATTTATTTCAAGAATAGAAGAAGTATTGAATGACTGGAAACTTATTGGAATTTCTTCAGGCAAACCTCTAGAAAAGGTCAGTTACCGCTTCAGAAATTTATTTTTGAATCGGAATTAGTAACTGATAATACATGTTTTTTTTATATATATGTGTGTGTGTGTATATATATATATACACACTTAGAACTGCTATTTTCTTAGGTGTGGTAGAAAATGATTTACTTTTGCGGAATTTCACTGATAAAAGTGAGCATTTGTTCCCCACTCACCTGCCAGCTCCCCCCTCCAAAATTGCTGGAAGCTAATTATTGATGAATTGTCTTCCAACCTGACAGTTTTCCTCGTAAAGCTGCATCTTTATTCAGGGTTTAGCGATTTTTGTTGTTGTTGTTTTTTCATTCCTAGTTTTCAATCTAGAAACCTTAAATTCTCAAGGAATTTCTTTTCCCCTCTTCCTGTGCTTTTGTAATGCCTCCAGTGCTTGTGGCGGAGGTTTGCATAGTATTGCCTTTGACTTAAAGAAAAAAAAATCCCTCTGATCTATGAAATGGATTCTTTTTCAAAGTCTAATTAGAGTCTTGGTAGTGTTTCTTCAGTCATGTATGCCACATGGGTAATTACTGAGCCCTTAGTATACAAGGGCAAATGAATTTAGCTGCCTTGGATTGAATGGCTGTCGTGGTTCCAGGTTCCAGAGGTAGTGATCCGTAATTTTAGTCAGGATACAATGTATAATACAAAGCTTATCTAGTGAAATAGTTTTCAACTTCAGCTGTCAGCATATTCCTACATGATTTATTTTCTAGGTCCGTTCTCCCTTTTTGATCCCTCTTGATTGCCATGTAGTTGTGAAGACTTTTAGGGAAGATACAGCTCCTTGAAATGAACATACTTATTCAAAACACTGGATTTTTTTCATTTAGCTAACTTTATGGAGTGTTTGGAGAGTCTCTTTAAATTAAACCATGCCTAGCTATTTAGAATAAAACTTTAGGAGTAGAAAAAGGTGGCTAAATGTTATGGAACATATGGGCAGCATGTTTTGTAAAGGTCATGAAAGTTAACCTGAATGTCTCCCATTAGATCATATTTTCTTTTCTATGCATTTATACAGGGTGTTTATACCACAGGAACATGGGAAGAGAAATCGGATGAAATCTTGTTTGCAGACTTCAAATTCTCAGTTACCCATCACTATCTTGCACAAGGACCCAGTGAAAAAGATGCGAAAGAAGAATTGGTAGAAGGTAGCTGTTACATCTCTTGTATCTGAAATATGTAATAAGTTTTATAATATGACAAAGGATAATTCGGAGTGTTGAATTGACATTAATGGACCTCGATGCTCTTGTGTATCTATGTATCTTTTTTTTTTTTTTTCTCTTTTTCTCAGATGCCCTTCCTCTACCTATGCAGGACTTGCTGTGTATGAACAATGACTTTCCCCCTAGAGCGCATTGTCTGGTAAGATGGTATGTACACCCGTTGTCTTCCTTAATATGAGAAAGCTTTGCAATTGAAAAATCTTTCATGCAGATGTAATCACTTGTGTATTTTTATATATTATTTCTGTATCAAGAGTTAAAGCTTAAATAAAATCATGTTGGAGACATTGGCTAAAGTATAGATTATATAATGACAGGATTAAAAATGAAGCTGAGAAATGTTGATATCTAAAGTTTTCAGTTAGCATCAGGCATAATATTTTCTGCTTATACTAAAAGGTATTCTAATTATTTTCCCTTGTAATGGCACTTTTAAAATGTATTACAGAAAAAAAAAATTTAAAAGTGCTCTCTTAAAATATGTGACATGCTTGTGATAATCAGTCTTCCTGAAAAACTGCTAGGATATGTCTGCACGTTTAAATGCAGGCAGTCAATGTAGGAATGATTTCTTTTCTTTTTTTTTTTTTTTTTCTGGTTTGGAAGCTGTATGGCATGACACAGATGCTGCACTTATGTGCCCTACTTGGGATACAGGTTAGAGCAGTATGTTAACTTACCTTATGTCTGCATGTCTGTCTTGTTCTCTTAAGGTATGGCTTACGTGAGTTTGTGGTTATTGCTCCAGCAAATAATGAAGCAGTTCTTAGTGAATCCAAATGTAACCTTCTGTTGAGTTCCATTTCCATTGCTTTGGGAAACACTGGCTGGTAAGTGAAAGCATAACCCCTTTTTTAGCCAGAGCTGACAGATGTGACATTCTAATGCTGATACAAATTATTGTGAGAAAAAGTATTTGGTAGTTAAGGAAGTATAATCTAATTTTGTTCTATATGCAAGATAATCTTATTATTTAAAGACTTTTTTTAATTAAAAATGTTCCTGTGGAAACTTTAAAAATATTGATCTGGTGGTTTATACCCACTGTTACATGAAAGCCTCAAAGGTTTTTAAAAGATTTTATAACCCCTTAGAATAACCAGTATGCAAATATGACTTCCAAATAAACCAGATGAATACTACTTTACATGTGATAACCATGAGTTTCTAAATTTTGATTGAAAATCAAATGAGTAATAAGGCTTTATTTATGGCATGACTATTTTTTATGCATGTCATTTAATTGGTGGAGTTAACAGTAGCTCTTGTAATTGATCTTAAGTATTTTAAACAGTGTTCCAGTGAATGAAAAATTCTGCATTATGGCAATATTTTTCTGCACGTGTTAACAGATACGAAATTACATTAAAGTATTTAAGTAGTTTTAATGACTGCAGGGCAACAAAACAATTTAATCTGAAATATTTATATTTTATAGTCAGGTACCACTATTTGTGCAAATACATCATAAGTGGCGACGAATGTATGTTGGAGAATGCCAAGGCCCAGGAGTTCGAACTGACTTTGAAATGGTTCATCTTCGTAAAGTGCCAAATCAGTATACTCATTTATCAGGTTTACTAGATGTCTTCAAATCCAAGATCGTAAGTGCATCCATATGTATATAACTAATATTAGGAATAATTATTTTATTACTTTTTTCCCTTAGGTAAAATTCTTATAGGCAAGGGCTTTTTTTAAGAGTGAGCCTCAACACTGTTTATATCAGTGAAGACTTTTTCCAGATGCTGGCATTTCTTATCTGACAATAAGTAGCAGAAATCAACATGGGTTTTACTACACAGCTTGATCACATTCTTCCTCCTCTTTTGTTTTCTGTCAGCGTGTGAAAGAATGTGTTAGCCTCTTGTAGCAACCTTGTGTTCCTATCTCCCAGAAACAAACTTTTTTAGTGCCTAACAAGGGGGAGGACAATGGATTTGTATTCTAATACTTTATAGCTCCTGCTATGGGTAAATAGAGATAAATATATGAAGAAATGTAATAAATAATTTATCTATAGTTAGATAAATTTTAAGAATGAAGAACAACGTAATTGAAATCTGAGCTTTGTTTTTAGAGTGGTATAGCTGACTAGTGTTGATAATCAGCAATCTAATCAAAAAATGAAAATAATAAAATCCTTAATGCAAACATAACATTTTGTATCAGGGTTGTCTAAGTTACCTGTGAAGTGGAATATGTAAATATTTCATGGACTTTAGTGGAATGGTTAATTTTGCATGCAGGTGTCTTGCTGAGCTAAGAGGGCTTTCTTGATAATTCTAAGCACGTGACATTTTTGAGAAATCAGCCCTAATACCACCTATTAAAACTAAGATCTGTACAAACCCTAAGATTGTTCTGCTGGATGTAGTCTTTAAATTGCAATTTTTCCTATACTGTTTATTTTCAAGGGGTGTCCGTTGACCCCACTGCCTCCTGTAAGCATGGCTATTCGGCTTACGTACGTGCTTCAAGACTGGCAACAGTATTTCTGGCCCCAACAGCCACCAGGTAGGAGATTTGTGTCCTCAGAAAAACTTGGCTTGAGGTCAACAGTGAGTGCTAAAGGACATGCTTATGTATCTTGCCAGAAGAGTAAAACTGTTAAGTCTGCTTTACTACGGAAGGCTCTGGTTAGAACTAAATGCCTTTCTGCTCCCTGGGATAAGCCAGCAACTTGAAAGCTGTTCTTGAATCATGTCAGTGATTATGCTTGTGATCGGTGGTTTGGTTAGGGCTGTGTCTATGCAATATGCTTTGCTATTAGTGTTCAAAGATGGTACCTAGGTCGTGATAGCTGTAAAGCTGTAGTATCTGCTCCAAGAGAAATGGATGGCTGTCTATAAGGAATTCTGCCCTAAGCTCCACAGGAAAACCTGGCGGATTCTGGTTTTGTTAGATCATAGTGCTTTACAGTGGTAGTCAATTATTTCAATGAAATAACTCATTTTTAATACTTTACTGTATTAGCATTGCGGAAATGAGAAATAATTATGTGGACCTCGAAGTGAAAATTAGGATATACATATATATATATATATTTTAGTTTACACTTTCTATAAATTAATTATACTGATTGCTTTGTAAACCGTTTGCCAGTTGCACTTAAAATTGAGGATGAGATGGCATAATGGCATTTTTGTGATGGCGTTATGTTATACCCATTTAGACTTATGTTTAATAAAGACTACATATTAATAGTTTGTATCTTTTAAAGGATATAGAATGGGGAGTGGTTGAAGATGCTGGGAGAAGTCTTTAAATACTTAGGATTAAAAGGCTTCTCACAGGTCATTGGGTCAAGCTTTTTTGCTATTGCAGTTGACACATCGTACAATTCCTTCAATAAAATGATCAAACTGCCTTTTCAAAGTAGTTGTTTGTTTCACACCTGCAGAGTTCCTCTTCTGGAGTCTCTTTTCTCTGCTTTAAACTAAATGTCTGCTTAAGTCTTTTTATGGCTAGTCTGTACCTACGTGTTCCTGTGTGAACACTGATTCTTTAGGCCACCATGGTAGCCATCATCAGTTCCTGCTGCCTACTGTTTTATTGTATGTAGCACAAGATCTCTGTTCATCTTTTTGTTAGACCAAAGAAGTGGTAATGGTAAGCGAACTCAAATTGGAGTAGATATAATAGGCTATAAAAAGAATAAACCGTCAACATGGTTGATAGAGATACAGTGCATCTAGTTGCATGGTAACTCCCTCTTTCTTCTGGAACAATAACTTTGGCTATGTGCTAGAATTGCTTTTTCAAAGCTCTGTCACCTTAGCTGTTCTTGCATCAGCTTATGCACTTTACAGCATCTTTTTGCTGTGAAGTTGAGGTTCAACTAGTTTCTTAATGTATCCCTTAAATTCTATATGGAAAATGTGTTAATCTTTCTTCAGACATAGATGCTCTTGTTGGAGGAGAAGTTGGAGGCCTTGAATTTGGGAAGTTACCGTTTGGTGCCTGTGAGGATCCTATTAGGTAAGAGTTCAGAAAACTGAATTTTTTATCTCCCCTAATAGAGGACTTAAATACCTTTAAGTAATAGCTATTGCCTATGGCTATTAGGTAAGGCTATGCAGAAATGTGCCTTAATTGGAGATAAACTCTAAAAATGATGTGCCTTTATTCAGGGATTGTGTTTGCTTTCGTTAAGTATAATGTTTAAAGAGACTTAAATTGAGAGGATCTTTAAACTGAAATACTCAGATCCCTCTTATATTCTCTTCTGAAAATCCCATCACCGCTTGACAAATGCAGGAATTGCTTAATGCATTAGACATGTTTTATTGCTGTAGGCAAGTTATGAAAGTTCGTTCTTTCTGATGTACTTGGATACATAAAATACTGTGTGCAATTTCTCTTTTTGTGGAGAGAAGCTACAAAAATGCCTTGTATGCTGAATACCAGTAAAGTTTAGTACAATACTGGGTGCCATGCTGTAGAATTATCAGTAGAATGTAACAAAAAGAAACTCATTGAATACATGCAAATTCCTTCAAATTCTTATTGGAGAAATATCTTTCGATCATCCTTTTCCAAACTCCCCTGTCCTGCAAAAACAAAAGAAAATAATAATTAAAAAAAAACCCCTAAAACTCCACTCTGAAGAATGACACCTTACTTAAAAATCTGGCAAAAGTGTGTGAATTTGAAATTAACATTGTCTAGTTAGCAATGTGTTTTTGATACCTTAGATTTTGATTCAGTGGTTCATTGGACTTAACTGTAAAATACATAGTGGGAATTAAGTATGAACTGCCATGTGTGCTGTTCAGAATCTGAACTGTGCTGGCAAAAGCACTTTGTAGTATCACTCAGAGGTTTAAATCTTGCTTGTTTCAGTGAGCTTCATTTAGCTACCACATGGCCTCACCTAACGGAAGGTATAATCGTTGACAACGATGTTTATTCGTAAGTATTCTATCTGGATTGCAAATAGCTAAAGTCTCCTTTCTTCATTTGTTAAATGTCTTGTTTTGTGTGTCAGAGAACCCGTTTTGAGGCATGATGCATTTGCGAGAAGCATTTGCGAGAATGTCTAATCTGGGAAAACAGCAGCTTCTGAAATGCTTTTGTGCATTAGAGAATATTAGTTACCATATCATTATCTCAACATGCAACACGCCCCACACTCTGAGCATTCTCTCAGGCTAAATTGAAAAGTTTTGCATATTGCGTGGCTCTTGAGAAAGAACTTGACGAAGTTGACTGTGGAAAGTAAAAAGAATTAATTCCCACAGAGTGTCACCCATATTTTCTGCAAAGCCTGATAAAGGTAATGAACAGTGTACTGATCTCTTAAAACTTAAAAGAAAAAAAAGCAGTTATTTTCATATTAATGCGGAAATGAGTTTTCAGGATTAATAAAAATTGAAAACAGGTTTACCTGAATTTTAACTTTGAGTTCTTGTGTGGTTCTTACTCGTGTGTGTACATAAAACAGATTCTTGCTTCCTTTTCAGAACACTTCCCTGTTTTCCTGTGTAATGTGCTTCATGTTATGACTTTCATAGCCTATCTGTGACATTCCAGTTACTAAGAATTTGATACTCATCTCTCTCATCCCATCACCATCAGTCTGAAACTTTTAGTGTTTTATTTTTTAAGGGACCTCGATCCTATTCAAGCACCCCAGTGGTCTGTGCGAGTCAGAAAAGCAGATAATCCTCAGTGTCTGTTGGGTAAGGCATCAGAATTCCTTAGCTTCTTTTACAGCTCTTAAGCTGCCAGCATGTGAATGACTGATTCCTGATGACCTTTCTGTCCTGACACTCCTCATTTCTTTGTCTGAGTGGACTATATTTCGGGTCTCTTGTTTTTCAAGAGTGCAGTATTTGCAACCCTGTTGTTACTGGTTATACTCCGTCTGTGTATGTACTTACTTCACTAGGTTCCAGAGAGTAACTATTTATTTTGTGTGGTTCTATCAAGAACTGTATTTCCTAAAATCTTATGCAGTCCTTTCTACCTATATTCGATTCCTTAGTTGAACCTTCCTTATTTCCATCTATCTGTGTCAGTCGAGGAAGATCTGTAGGTGTGGAGACTGTACTATTCTCAGTCCTGGCTTGCTAGCTTGTTGGGGAGAGGGCTTCAAAATGAAGAAATCACAACATACAGGTGACTTTCAACTCACTGTGAGGGAAGAAATGGCTGAAGCTCCATGAAGAACTGTGCTCTGGGGCCGAGGGGGGTCCAATAGCTGTCTAGCTGTGCATTTTCCTAGACTGTAATTGTGTGGTTTGGGATGTTTAAAAAATTATCATATTCTTTCAGTTTAAAAGATAAACTGGCACTGCTGTCCCTCAGTAATCACTTTGGGGGTTAATTCATTTTTTTTTAATTGAACAATTATTTAGAAACTTGATTTCTCTCAGGTGATTTTCTTACGGAGTTCTTCAAGCTTTGTCGGCGGAAGGAGTCAACTGAGGAGATACTTGGAAGATCTGCATTTGAAGAAGATGGAAAAGGTAAATTTCAAATCTTGTTAGCTTTCAGTTGTTCAACAATTATTTTACCTTCCCTGTCTCTACTGCCTTGTATTCCTGACTTCAGTTTGATCATCATTCTGTAACTGTTAGTCCTGGGCATTTTCTGGAGTGGTCAGTGTACGTTGTACCATTTCTCATGAATTCTAGGTGCAGCTTGGCTCTCAAAGGCCCACAGGAAGATTTTGTTGTATTTGTTACCTATTGGAAAGTGAGACTTTCCATTTGACATCTATTGTATTTAGTTTTGTGCAAATGTATTTTCTTGTCTGTATCATTTCCCATTTTTTTGTACGTTTTTGCACTTTCTGCTTTTTAAAGTGCTATATTGTCCATATTTTAACTGCTTGTTTTAAGAGTAATCGGTTCTGTTCTTGCCTTCATTTTTAAGGGATTATTTTATTCCCAGTAGATAAGGAAGAAGCATAATAAAGCTAAACCCTAAATTATCAGACCAACTGGTTAAATTTTATCCAAACAATATAGATATTAACTGATATCGGTTTGATGTGTCTGTCCATTTCTTTAGCTTTTCTTTTTCCGGTGACCATTTTCTTGTTTACTACCAAATTTTGCCGTAACCTCTGTGTGTGCATTTGTTTTTCTCTTCTAAATCGGGCCTGTATCAGTATATTTTCTTTGGTTACACTTAATCATATCTTTCAAGGAGCTTAAGAGCAAAGAAGTCACTAGTTAATTAGCTTAACAACGTGTTAGATAAAGTAGGGTATGTGTTACTATAAAAGGTCTCTAGCTCTCATTAGTTCTCATTTTCTTAAAACAAAAATGTGGTTTTCCAGGCTGCTGGCAATTATTCATTTGTCTCCCGTAGTTTTAATATTGTATATTAGAAGAGCAATATTTTGGATGAGTTTACCTGAGCTGTCCAAAACATAATAGAGCTTAGGCCATACAAGGTCATGTACAGTAACTAATGCTAAGCAAAAACTCTAGCATCCACCGTGTCTTCGCTGTGGGTGTTTATGCGTAAGCAAGGGTCAGACGGTGCTTTTGGAGGCCGGTTGCAGGCGGCTGTTGCTGCGGATTGCGCAGCGCGCGGTAGGTGGCA